GCGAGGGCGGGCGGGCGCGCAGGGGGCGGGGGGCTCCTGCCTCCGCGGGCGCCTCCCCACGCCCTGTGCGTGCCGCCGCCGCCGCCGGGGAGCGAGCGGACGTCGCGGCGCCGCGGGGGGGTGGGGGGACGCTGCCGCTGGGTCCGCCCGAGCAGCCGGGCCGCCCCCAGCGCGGCCGGCCGCGGCGCTCGGGTCCGGACCCCGGCCGAGAGCGGCCGGGGGCCGGCGAGCCTGGCGTTGGGGGGCCCCGGAGCCCCGGACCGAGGGGCCCGGAAGTCCTCGGCCGAGGGACCTGGAGGGGCCGGAGCGACTCCGGACTGGGAGGCCCGAACGCCCAGGACCCTGGGGAGGGGTCCGGGGATCCAGGGGTATCCCCAAAGGCGGGATCCGGGGAGCACCAGGCCCTTCGATGAGGAGCTGGGGAGAGGCCTGGGTCGAGCTGGGGAGAGGCCTGGGTCGCGCTCAGGCTAGGGAATAGTGGTGAAAGTGGGGCGAATGGTGAAGGAAGCCCGCTGCCCGCCCGGGAGTATCCCTGGGAGCCTTGGGGTGGGGAGCAAGAGCAGAGAGTGGGTTGCTGAAGAAAGGAGGGTCCACGTTTCACCCGGGGGCGCGTTAGAGGCCTCGGCCATTCAGTCCAGGGGGAAAGAAGCAGGTGCTTCCCCGAAGGCGTGGTGACAGGTCCGGTAGTGGGAGCAGGGGACAAGGAAGAAGATCTCTAAGGGGAAGTGAGCAGGCCCCTACCGTCCCCTAGATGAGGGGGCGGTAAGAAGACACCTCAGAGCCTCCAGAGGAAGGAATGAGAAGGGTCCAGATCTGTGAGAGAATAACAGAGAGCTGGGAGTACCTCCTGATATTATAGGTGGAGAGCAGGGTGATCTGGTCTGTCGGGAGTGGGGAGACCCGTGTTTTTGAGGACGGGAGAGAAGATAATTGGTGGGAAGAAGGCTAAAGTACCCTTGCTTTCTAAAATGACAGGGGAATTGGCCTGCTGTCTTCTAATTGAGGGGCAGGAGAGGTGAGGGCAGACTCTTGCTTGAAGGTCCTGGAGTGTGATCCACCCAGACTAAGGCACAAGTCTTGACTTAGGGATCAAGGGAAGGCTTGGCCGTCTAAGAAGCTGGAGGAGGCCTGCATTCTCTTCTCAAGATGTGAGAAATTCAAAAACCCTTCCTAACAGACACAGCAGGGGCCTTAACTGGTGTCTGTTTAGGAGAACCAAGAAGTGGCATTTTCCTCCTTAACCTGGAGGATTAGGAAAAGGGAGGATCAGATATTTCGAGTCTCACAGAGGATTCTTTTCTCTCTTAGGGGGAGTTCTTCATTAAATGGACTGACTCCCCTAATTTGTCAGCCTTTTATCAATTATGTGTATTTAAATTAGTCTACTGACTTGATGACTTTTGTCATTAGTTGTTAGTCAACCACTTATTCATATTTACTTCAACAAATATATTGAATAGCCAACTTGTACTCAACTTCATTGGGATAGTTTGGGCTGTATTTTGGTCTTGTCCTAAGCAGAAGTCTCCTCAACTATAGTATGGCGACCCTTCAAAAAACCCTTTTACTGTCAAGCAGATTTGGAAAAGAATACAATAAAATTCCTAGTAATGAAAACCGAAAAGATTGAAATTTAATACTTAATTTAAAAAAAGAATAGGGCTTCCCTTGTGGCACAGTGGTTGAGAGTCCGCCTGCCGATGCAGGGGACACGGGTTCATGCCCCAGTCCGGGAAGATCCCACATGCCGTGGAGCGGCTAGGCCCGTGAGCCACGGCCACTGAGCCTGCGTGTCCGGAGCTTGTGCTCCGCAACAGGGGAGGCCACAACAGTGAGAGGCCCGCGTACTGCAGAATAAACAATAGATTTGACACACTTGAAGAGAAAAATCATGAAAGGGAAGATAGACATGAAAAAACAAAACATTCACACACCCACAAAAAACCCTTTTATGCTATTGCTTCCCTAAACACCTACGTAGTGGTCACCAATATGTGACTTATCCCAAACTTCATTTGCCCTGGCTCTTTTCCTCACAGTGGTCCTATGTAGTGATCTTATTGGCTTCATTACATCTGGTAGCACCCTGGATCACCTACTAAATACGTGAGGAGGAATAAAGGGAAAAAAAAATCCAGGAGTTTTGGCCTCATGTAATAATAAAGTTTTAACTTGGAAAGTTCTTAAGAATAGACCACACAGTCTACAAAAATTACAGTGAAGTATGGAATAAATACATTTTGGAGTTAGAAAATTTCAGGATATCTAGTATTTCTGTTAGTCCATTTCAACTACCAACTCTGATGTTCCTGTGATCATGTGACACTTATGCCTACATCTTGCCATGTTTTAAACAATTTTCAGGACACAAAGTGAATTTAATCCAGAGTAACTCAGATTATCATTTGTTTTGTTTTTTGATAGTTTATGTGAGTAGTCGTGCTTACTTTCAAGGTGTCTTATTTGTCTTTGAAAATAGCTACAAATAATTCTTCCTTTTCACTTAAGTTTGACATATTTCCTTCATGTGTGCTCCTAGAATTACAGAGTGTTGTGTGATTCCACAATGAATACTCTAAGTCCCCTTCCATGAAATACCCAAAGGAGCAACTCACTCATCTTGCCTTAGGAGTTTTGGTTGCTATAAACAAGAGCTACTTTTCAGTTTACACTCAGCTCGAAGAGATGACCTTGGAATTAGCCAGTGTAGTCTGTAGAGCTGATTCGGGTTACTTGCTAGGAATATGGTATTTAGGATAATAAGAGATATTCAACCCAAACTTGCTTCTCTAAAGAATGTAAGAATTGCCATGTTGGATCAGACCTGTGTCTCTGACTGATACTGAGAGATATATCGTGGATGATTATAATTATCTTCTCTGATAAATTCTCAGAAGGTTAGAGAAGCAGCCAGAACCTTCCTCTTGAGTTCTGAGGTGTGTGGGGGGTAAGGAGTATATGAGTTCTTATTGAGGAAAGTATTAATCAAGAAGTTAGTCTACCACTTATTCAGAGTATTGTAGAGAGGACTCAACCTTAGGGTAGAAGGTTGAACTAGAAGCATCCTAATTCTGCTTCTCTAACCCATTAATTTACCTATGCTATTAATTTTTTAACATTTAAACCATTTTTTTGAAATAAATTCCCTACGATTGTTACATGCTAAAGTATTACATCTTTTAAATTCATTAAATATGTAACAGAATAGTGCTTGACAACAAACAAGTGTCCGACAGTTGTTAGCTGTGATTATTTTAATTCACCCTACTTTTTTTTTTTCACCCTACATTTTTATGGTTCAAACTTTGACGATATCTATTGGTTCAATTATTCTAGGATTTGATGGCATTTTATACTTCATCATATCCGTTTTGGCTTTTTCTAGACTCAAGGGTCCTAATCATTTAGGTTCTATTGCTGGCAGCCAGCCACACCAGTCCACTGATTCTCTAATCCCCACCCCCCGCCAGTTTTAAACCTTCAATTTACATAAGTTTATTTATTTATTTATTTTTGCGGTACGCGGGCCTCTCACTGTTGCGGAGCACAGGCTCCGGACGCGCAGGCTCAGCGGCCATGGCTCACGGGCCCAGCCGCTCCGTGGCATGTGGAATCTTCCCGGACCGGGGCACGAACCCGTGTCCCCTGCATCGGCAGGCGGACTCTCAACCACTGCGCCACCAGGGAAGCCCAACGTAAGTTTAGATTGTACATTGTAGTATCTTGCAATTACTTTTTTCCTGTACTATGTGACAGTGTCACACATCTCTTTCCCTTCTGTAGCTCCTTAAGAGCAGATAACATCCCTTTTCATATCCGGGGAGCCGAAGTCTGTATCCGATGTGGAGTAGGGACTCAGTACATATTGGCCATAATGATGGGCAGTAAGCAAGGCAGCTTAGCCTGAGCTGTCTAAGCAAATTTATATCCCCTCAGTTAAAGATGAGAAAATTCTAGAAGTCTTTTAGGGTAAAGTGAGTTACTCATTGCACAAAAATTTATTACATACATGCTATGTGCCAGATTTTCTTAGGAAGTTTTAGGTAGGCAGTTTTGTAAATAGAAGTCTGATATTTGAAAACTATTTATTACACTCGAGAGTCCTGGGTACTGAGCTAGCACAGGGGAGCCTGTTGAAAAAGAAAAGCTATCCTTTCTCTGCCAGGATGTAGTCTGAGGGGGAGAGGTGGACAAAGGGGGTTGATGGTTGTGACGGGGATGCTGCAGGCGCTGAGGAAGCAAGAAGACCCTCTCAGATCTAGTCAGGGATGTCACAGATGGCCTCTCTGAGGAAGCGATGTTTTAAATAAGTCATAAAAGTTTAGCAGTGACTTGCCAAAGGGGAAAGAGAAGAGAATTCCCGGTAGAGCAAACAAGGGTGAAGGCTCAGGTGAGGAACTATGGCGTAGTTGAGAAATTGGAAAAAATGCAATGGCAGGAGCCCACAATGTGAGAGGAAGAACTGTGAGAAATGAGGCTAGCAGGGTGGGCAGGGGACAGATTTGGTGGGTTTTGAAAGCCATATTAGGGTCTTTGCACCTTAATAGCAGCAAAGGGAATGCACTGAAGGATTTTTAAGTGGGGGAAAATGGCCTTTAGTAAGATGACTTTGTCTGCTCTGTAGATAATGAATTGGAGATCAAGACCAGAGATTAGGGTACTGATGAGAAGCAGCTGGAAAAATCCAGGTAACAGTGTGGTGGCTCAGAATATGATGATGGCAGCACAGATGGAGAGTGGGGGTTGGTTAAAAGAGATATATAGGTGATAGAATGGATAGGATTTGGTGGTTGGTTGGATTTAGAAAGAGAAGAAAGAGGAGTCAAAAATAGCTCCTTAGTTTCTGGCTTGAGAAAATGGGTGGAGGGTAGCACCATTTATTGAGGCAGGAAACATAGGAGCAGGTTTGAGAGGGAACAGTCTTTCAGTTTAAGGTGCCTACAAGATATTTTAAGAGGCTTTTAGATATAGGAGGTGTTGAATCCAGGAAAAAAGTTTGAATGTGAGAATCATAAAGGGCAGAAGTCTAAGTCATATATGAGGAATTTTAACTAGGTCAAACACAAACAAAAATTGATTGAACCAACGTATGTCAATGCCTATGATGAGCAAGGCTGTGGGAGACAAGATTTTTATTTTTTATTTTTAATTAAAAAAAAAATTTTGGCTGTGCCACAGCATGAAAGAATTTTAGAGAAGCAGCACCTGTCCTCACAGAGAGTCTAGTGTCATCATGGAGGTAGATGTCTATTTAGTTAACTGCAGTGCAAGGCACAGTGTGATAAACACTAGAGGAGAGCTGCAAGCAAGTATTGGGGGACCTCAGAAAAGAAGGTGGTTTGGCAGTGGCTTTGTGGAGGAGTGAGCTTTGAGCTGGACCTTGAAGGGAGAAGGAGATGCGGGAGAAAGGAGTTTTGGGCTTATGGAATAACAAAGGTAGAGAAACCTGAAAGTACATATTACACGTTCAGAAATCTGTGGGAGGTTGGTGTGGCTGGATCTTAAGATTCTTGGGATACTGTAGTTGCAGGTGAAACTGGGAAAATTTGGGGGCCAAATGAGGGAGATTTTGAGTGCCATGTTAAATGTGTGTATTATAGGCAAACAATTGCTGTGGCAGAGCTGAAATGTGGATTCGGTCATCTGAGTACTAGTTACATATTCACGCTTGCATCCATTGTCTGTCTAAGCACAGTTCAGCACAGTCCGAATCATCTTCAAGTACTCACATATCTAAGTAAATAGAGTGTTCTTATCCATATTCTCTTACGTGACTCTTTTCAGCTGTGAAGACTAACAGCTGCAGAATAACTTGGGGCCCTCTGAGTTTTCATTAAGATTGAGATAATGCTTTGAGTTACTTTAGAGTCAAGGAGTTTGTGGTACTGGACAGTGGTTTCCCTAACAGCTCCGCAGGGGAGATGTCAGGCAAGACCCTATCTCCATTCAATATGAGGCAAAGAGGTATTAAGACGTTCCTGGAGGTCATACAGTTGGATTCAGCATTTATTAAAAAACCACACGACGCGAACCATCTTTCTTTTTCCCATACAACTTAGTTTAGTTAGCAGATACTTACTAGTATCTGCTTATTAGTATCTACTCACAAAGGACAGAGCACTTGATGAGGTATAAAGGCTGGTTGCAAAGAAAACAGATGATTCTTACTTCCTAGGAGCTTAGTTTGGGATGGAACTAGTGGTGTGCTGTAAACCAGCTCTCTAGAAGAAAAAATACCCTGATTTGTAATGTTTGTCAATTTCTGTGGTGTATATTCTCCCAGCAACTGATTTCAAGCTACCAACTTGATGTCACTAAACTTGGAGTTGGGAAGAGATGTGCACAGTTGGTTCTCAGGAGCTGGTAGAGCTGGCTCCAGCACACCATGGGGTGAATCACACATACTAAGAAAAACTACAATAACAAGTGAGTACTAAGGCATTTCTGGAAAGATCAGAGCCTATGTCAGCCCCTTCTCACAGTTCCCATCTTTTTCAGAGGACCATGATCTGCAGGATGCCCTGGGAATTAATAGTTATTATCTTGGTGTTCCTTTCCTATGGTTGCCATCTTTTCAAACCAGACAAAGTTACTGGTGCTTCTTGTTTCTGACAGCAGCTCCAGCTATCTGACTTCATGTGAAAGATGGCTAATGCGGAAGTGAGTGTCCCAGTGGGGGATGTGGTTGTGGTACCCACTGAAGGAAATGAAGGGGAGAACGCTGAAGATACCAAAACCCAAGTGATCTTGCAGTTACAGCCTGTGCAACAAGGGTAAGTGACTAGAGATTTGAATATTTTGAAAAATTTGGGAGGTTCAAAGAGTGAGGAAATTATAACTTTAAGGTGATTTAGCACAATGGAACATTCAACATCAAACTCTCAGAGCTACGTTTTCATCTCTATAATGTATTGTGTGCTATATTTGTCATTCAGTACTTACTACAACAGTTTGCTGTTTCCTTGTCTCTCTCCGTCTTCTCTACTGTGAGTTCCTTGGGGGTAAGTTACATGGTTCCCTCATCTTACTTATCCACACTGTTTAGCACAAGGCCTTGGTACATGTTTACCAAAAGACAGTGTAGTTAGAGTCAGAGGAGACTAGGCAACTGTAAAAGTATTCCTACCAGAAATTCTCTGGACCCTCGTGGATGGGCAAATTACTAAGCTTAGTCTATCAAAAAAATATTTATCAACCACCTATGATTACACAACGTATTTCAAAGGTGTTGAAAGAAATATAGCACATGGTTCCAACCATCATGGAGCTTGTAGTCTAGTTGTGCAAGGCAAAAATACATGTTTGTAAATAAAGAGATCACTTATGTGGCAAAACCTAAGAAGTGCAGAGTGGCATGGTTAGGATGTGCTTTTGAATTCAGAGGATCACTATGAATTTGAAAGAAGATATAAGATTTTCTGGTGGTCTTGAAAGTTAAATGGGAACTACATCTGCAGAGGGAAGTGGGGGGTAGTTATTTAAAATAATTTTTTTTTATTTTTAAAGTTGTTTTTTTTTTTGTTTTGTCAAATATAGTTTTTTTTGTTTTTGGGTTTGTTTTGACTTTGCCGCGTGGCACGTGGGATCTTAGTTCCCTGACTAGGGGTGGAACCCGTGCCCCCTGCATTAGAAGCATGGAGTCTTAACCACTGGACTGCCAGGGAAGTCCCAGGGGTGTAGTTATTTTATTTGGGGGAATGTATAAAAGATTCTTCAAGGATCAGAAGTGTTCTTGGGCAAGCATATACGGTTGGCCCTCTGTATTTGTAGGTTCCGCATCCACAGATTCAACCAACCTTGGATAAAAAATATTAAAAAAAGAAAAAAATCCAGAAAGTTTGAAACAGCAAATTGAATTTGCCACATGAAAGCAACTATTTATATAACATTTACATTGTATTAGATATTATAAGTAATCTAGAGATGATTTAAAGTATACGGGAGGGACTTCCCTGGTGACTCAGTGGTTAAGAATCTACCTGCCAATGCAGGGGACACAGGTTCGCTCCCTGGTCTGGGAAGATCCCACATGCTGTGGAGCAACTAAGCCCGTACGCCACAACTACTGAGCCTGCACTCTAGAGGCTGCGAGCCACAACTACTGAGCCCGTGCGCCACAACTACTAAAGCCCGTGTGCCCTAGAGCCCACGTGCTGCAACTACTTAGCCTGTGCTCTAGAGCTCAGGAGCCACAACTACTAAGCCCATGGGCCACAGCTACTGAAGCCCGCTTGCTCTAGGGCCCACGTGGCACAGCTACCTAGCCTGTGTGTTGCAAATACTGAAGCCCACGTGCCTAGAGCTTGTGCTCCGCAACAAGAGAAGCAACTGCAATGAGAAGCCTGTGCACCTCAATGAAGAGTAGCCCCTGCTCGCCACAACTAGAGAAAGCCCGTGCACAGCAATGAAGACCTAACACAACCAAAAATAAAAAAAAAAAATTTTAATAAAAAATTAAAAAAATAAAGTATATGGGAGGATGTGTGTAGGTTATATACAAATATTCAGTACTATGCCATTTTATAAGGGACTTGAACATCTGTGGATTTTGGTATTTGCAGGGGGGGTCCTAGAAGCAATCCCCCACTGATACCAAGGGATGGCTGTAATCCAATTCCAGTCTACTAAGTAATGTACCTTGCCTTAAAAATTTCTGGAGAAAAACAGTTAACCTATCTTGATAATTTAAAAAGCTTTTCAGTATAGGAAATTTCAAATATACCCCAAAATAAAGAAAATATAATGAACCCCCGTGTAAGCATCCATCACCCAGCTTCAACAGTTATCAACACATGGCCAGTCCTTTTTTTTTTTTTTTTCACATGGCCAGTCTTATTTCATCTCTACATCCACCCACTCCTGAATTTTTTTGAAGCAAATCCCAGACATTAGTATGTATCTGTAAAAGATAAGGACTTTTTAGTTTTTAAAATATAAACATAGTTTGCTGACATTTCTGAATATTGTTGAGCATAAAGGAAATATTCTAAGGTCTGTAAGGGAAAGTTGATATAAATAATGCCTAACATATAGCCTATAGAGCGGTTTAAATTTTTATTGGCACCAACAGATTATGCATGCTTATTCAAACTCATTTGTTTGGGAATTTTGTTTGATACACATACACATACTTGTAGTTGTTACCTTTTGAGGTAGGGTAACATCAGGAAGAATTAAAGGGCAGGTTCTTTAGTTCTCCGCAGCTTTATTTTCTTTTTCTTTTTCTTTTCTTTTTTTTTTTTAGAATTTATTTTCTTATGGAGTCATCATTTCTTCTGTCTTTCCTAAAGTACTCCAGTTGTCATTTGTCCTATCCCCAGTAGAGACGGAAGAAACTTCTCTGCTACTTAGAGACTTAATTCTTTTGAAGCTTTGGTTCCACTTATTTTTCTGTTTGTCTTTTTTATTTTCCAAATGATATTGCTTTTTCTGGAAACCTCTCATTGCTTGCTTAGGTAGAGGATCTTTGTACAACATATATTGACTCCCCACTCCACTGTTTACACTGAATTTTAGTGCATGAGCTAGTGAATAAACATTTTGAGGTATTGCATTCTTTTTTTTTGAGGTATTGCATTTTGAGATGCCTGTCAGTTGATTTTTCTAGTTGTATTATTTTATTATTTGAATATTTTATTGCATTTTAGCCTAATTTTATAAAAATGAGCAGGGTACAAAAGCATTGATTCTAGTGATAAGAAACACTGGTCTCATAATTTTAATACACTTGAGACAAAGATGGAAATCATCAGGTGTCAGTCTTCAGCCTCATCACACTTAACCTGCTTGGCTACAGTTCAAATATGAAGGAGAGAAACAATCAAAGAATATATATGAATTGCTGGGAATAAATTGGTAAAGATTATATTTAAAAGGCAAGAAATAATTAGGGATTTTATATAAGTATTTTTAGATTTCAATATATAATTCCTCTTGCCCATCTTTTTAGCTTTTACATATATGACATTTAATACTTTCTCAAATTTTCATCATATACACATTTTCAAGAATACATTGTGAAGCAAAAGTAGAGTGTCTGGTAACAGTCTTTTAATATGAATACATAGAACCTGACGCATCGTGTAAGGTGATACTTTCATAATAATACTAGATTGGTTTTTTTTCTTTTTATAAATTTATTTATTTTTGGCTGTGTTGGGTCTTCAATACTGCACGCGGGCTTTCTCTAGTTGCGGCGAGCGGGGGCTACTCTTTGTTTTGGTGCGCGGGCTTCTCATTGCAGTGGCTTCTCTTGTTGTGGAGCATGGGCTCTAGGTGCGTGGGCTTCAGTAGTTGTGGCATGCAGGCTCAGTAGTTGCATGGGCTTAGTTGCTTCACGGCATGTAGGATCTTCCCGGACCAGGGATCGAACCCGTGTCCCCTGTATTGGCAGGTGGATTCTTAACCACTGTGCCACCAGGGAAGTCCCTAGATTGGTTTTAAAATATGTCCACATTCAACTTTTTAAAAAAAACATAGATACTGAGGTACTCAGGTACTAAGAAGACTTTTAATTCTGGGAGTTTTTCAACAAAGAAGGCTTGTTCAGCCTATGCTTTCTCTTTAAAAACAAAAAAAGATGGTTATTAACTTTTTCAAATAAAACCTTTAAAACATACTTAAAAAGTCCTCAGGAGGAATGAAGGTACTAAGATTCCATCACCATTCTTGGCTTTCTAATTCATTTTGGATTCATAACAGAGTTTTTAACAATGAGATCAGGAACTGGTGACTTTAGTATTACATAAATTTACTCAGTGTGCTGAGTGGAATAGTTCAGTTTGAGGAGTAGTGACCTTACTTTCCTTATCATGCTCATATCCCTCCCCGGGAGCACAGGCTCCGGACGCACAGGCTCAGCGGCCATGGCCCACGGGCCTAGCCGCTTCGTGGCATGTGGGATCTTCCCGCACCTGGGCACGAACCCGAGTCCCCTGCATCGGCAGGCGGACTCTCAACCACTGCGCCACCAGGGAAGCCCCCTAGTAGTAAGCTTAAGGCCTTAGGAAGCTGTATAAACTCTTTCAGATCAGTAGGGTACCCATTAGTTTATGTAATAATCCCACATTCCATTCAATTAATCAGAATATCTTTCCTTATCATTCAAGATAAAAAGAACTTAACTCTGGATTTTCAGTTTTCAGTAAATTAGAATACAATGATGTAGACTTAACTTTAAAACTCTAGTAAACATAATTTTACCTCACTTCGATGATTCATAAGGTATGTCGGTATCTCATAACGCCTTAACATTTTAAACATATTTTATGATTTTTTACCATAATCATAGTAGGTATAGAGAATTAGGCTAAATCCATCACTATCCTGAGTTGCTTTAGAAAGATTTTCCCTGATAAAATCTTGTTTGCCCGTAAAAATATAGACTATTCCCTGACTTCCCACCCCAAGTGCAATTTTCCGGTTGTTGAAATTATGTATAGACAAGAATTTATTCTTTTAAAGAATTTTGCACATACTGGTCAAGTTAGAATGAGCTTATCAAATTTACTTGAAGCAGTGGTTTTTTTTTTTTTTGGCCACGCTGCAGCTTGCCAGATCTTAGTTCCCTGACTAGGGATCGAACCTGGGCCCCTGGCAGTGAGAGCGCCGTGTCCTAACCACTGGACTACCACGGAATTCCAGAAGCAGCAGTTTCTCATGTGTATCACATTCCTCATTCATTTACCGGTCATTTATTATGTGCTGTGCCATGTTCCAGTTAGCACACGACATGCCAGGTATACAAAATGAATAAAATGTAATCTCTGCTCTCAGGGACATTTTTTTTTTTTTTTTTTTTTTTTTTGCACGTGGCTTGCGGGATCTCAGCTTGAACCCGGGCCATGGTAGTGAAAGCCTGGAATCCTAACCACTAGGCCACCAGGGAACTCCCTCTCAGGGACCTTTTTAGACTATGCCCAAGGAGAGAGAGAGACAGGTAAACAAGTATATAGTATGAAGTGTTATAGTTGTTGTGACTAAAGCACAGTTGCATCACAAAGGAGGAAGTGGGTGATTATACTGGAGGGTTGAAATGGAAGGAAAAGCATCATACAGGCTACTCATTAAAAAACAAAAGATGGGGAAGGATGTTCTGGGAAGAGGGAGAAGAGCAAAAATAGACGGTGTAAAAGAAGGTGGCAATTTTGGGAACTACAAATAGTTTGGTATGATTGGGGCTTGGATTGTCTGGTGGGATTTGGTGAGAGATGAAACCAGGGGCCAGATCTTGGAGGGACTTAAATATGATATTAAGGATTTGAGTCTTTATTTTAGCAGCAAGGAGAGGATTCTTGAAGGGTTTGGAGGAGGGTGTTACGTGATCACTGTGGAAGGAATATAGAAGATCAGGTAGATGCAAGGAGACCAGTTCAGACTAGAGATGATGCAGCCTGAATTAAGGCGGTAGTAGTGGAAATAGACAGGGAGGATGGCTGGTGTTAAGGAGATGCATCTGGCAGGACTTGGTGACTATGTGGGAGTTGAGGAGGAGGAAAAGGGAGAAATTCAGTGTAATTCCCAGGCTTCTGTTTTAGGCTGCTGTGTGCTGGGTGGTGCCATTACAAGGATGGGGAATATAGGAAGAAGAGTAGTTTGGGAGGTGGGAGAGGAAAGAGAACTTGGTTATTTTAGACATAATGAATTCAATAAAGTCCTATGGGATATCCAAATGTATTTATTTATTTATTTAACAGTTAATTGTATCCTGGTGTGGAATTCAGAAGGGAGGTCTGTGCTAGAGGTGTCACCATGCAGGTGGCTAATCACTGATGCAAAGGAGATTATTCAGGCAGTGCTTTAGGGTAGCAAGTGCAATAATTAACATGTTAGGTTTATTATGGAAATTGAACAAAGGATGTCAATGTATCATGTTAGGTATTCTGAGCCCATTTCTTAGAAGGTAGAAACGTTTTGGAGAGAGATTTTCCTTAAGTGGTACCTCTAGTTACTGCTAGCTACTTTGGGCATAATGGCTCTCTTACTTTTTTTTTTTTTAACTAGGTTCTGCTCATGTCTGTAGTTTGATTATGGTGACTTAAAAAATGCTAAAGTGTAAAAATGACTAAAGTTCCTAGATTCCAACAAGGGACATCAATTCTGTGGTCAGCAGGTTCTTCCTGGTTTGAACTAACAGTATTACTTTTTAGTCTTATTTGGATAAATCTATAATGTGACTTAATCTTATACTTGAAGCAGCACTTTATGTCATGAGCTTTTAAAGTTAGGAAGGGAAAAGTCTGGTGTAGAAGAGTAGCAAGTGGCGGTGTAAATACAGTAGCAAGAGGAACTTTCCTTTGGGGTGAGGAAAGTTGTTGATTCATTTCCATGGTAGTAGCTGCTAAGCAGTCCCGGGCAGCTTAGAATTTAAATACATTGGGGCACTAGTCAAAGCACTAACATCGAGTTGTAAAGTATATTATTTTATTCCTTTTGAGATAGATTAAAACAAATTTTTTAACCCCATGCTGTGAATATTAATTTTTTCATGATTTATGTAGTTTGTTTATCGATGGACACTTTTACAACAGGATTTATGAAGCCGGATCCGAGAACAACACGGCAGTTGTGGCAGTAGAAACTCACACGATACACAAAATTGAAGAAGGGATTGGTAAGTCTTTTTGTTGTTCTAGTACTTTTTTTTTTTGGCCGTACCTCGAGGTATGCAGAACCCGTGCCCCCTGCAGTGGAAGCGGGGAGTCTTAACCACTGGACCACCAGGGAAACCCTGTTCTAGTACTTTTGACCTTAGCTTCCTTGGTTGAGATTTCTTGCCTTTTGTGCCTTATTTTTCCCCCCTACCCAGTGTGCCCTACCAGTGCTGTAGCCATCAATTTGATGATGGCACATCTAGAGACACCGCTGCCTGAGATGCTAGGGCTGTCTGTTGATGTTTAACGTGAATTTGCTAGGGTTGCTGAAAAGATTTTTCATCAATAGAAATCCCTCAAAGAAATTGGAGCCTCAAGGTTGAACTCTGTCATTAGGGAAGTTGCTGATGAGGTGTTGATTGTAAGGCAGTGAGTGGAAAAGAAACTGAAGTTAGACAAACCTGAGTTTGTCTGAAATTAGACAAACCTGAGTTTAAATCCCACGTTCTCACTGCTTAGCTGTGTGTCCTTGGGAAAGTCCCTTCACCTTTCTGAGTCCTACACAGGGACAATAGGAAACAGTCACTGCCTCACAGGATTGTTTTAAGAACTAAAAAAGATTAAGCCTATAAAAGCACACAGCACAGCGTCTGGCACATAGTGGGAGCTTGGTAAGAGAGCTGTTATGCCAAACTTCTTCCAGAAGATTCCTAAACAGTACCAACCAGTGTGAACTGTTAGCCCCTCAGAGGAACCAGGAGACTAGAGATTCTGAATTAAGCTTTGGGGAAGAGTGTTTGATAAATAAATGATATTTTTTCCATTTTCAAGATGCAAGCACTATAGAAGCAAATGAAGATATGGAAATCGCTTACCCCATAACTTGTGGGGAGAGCAAAGCCATGCTCCTTTGGAAGAAGTTTGTATGCCCAGGAATAAATGTAAAGTGTGTCAAGGTAATTGTCTTTTCTCCTTGCTGGGGCCTATTTTGGGTCTCCTTGTTTTCAAAGGGTATGGTTTTAGTGCCTCTTCTCTCTCTTCCACCATGTCAATGTTTTTAATTTTGTGGTGTCCCTTTGTGTCACAGTAAAAAAAAAAAAAAATAGGGACTTTGGAGTGAAAATGACCTGGATTCAAGTCCCACCAGAATATAAGTCCTTTGAGAGCTGAGAATTTGTCTATCTTGTTCACCATTGTATCCCCAGCACCTAGAATAGGGCTTGGCATATTTATCAGTAAATATTTGTTGAATGAATGGAGTCCCATCTCTATCACTGACTAGCTAGGTGACCTTGATCAAGTTATTTAATATTTCAGAGCCTCATATGTTAAAATACAAATAATTATATACACACACAGTAAGGTTGCTAGAAGAGGAAGTGAGATCATATATGTAAAATGCCTTACACTGGTGTGTAATTTGGTAGAGTTTATTAAAAATTATTACTGATAAAAATAAGTAATCTTCATGAGAGCACAATATGGAAATAATTGCTTATTCTGTCTCCACTGGTAGCCACAGCTGACCTATGTAGATAGTAGTCACCATCAGTGGCATCATCCTAGAATCATTAAGAATTACAGAGCTTCGAGGCTTTGTAGTGCTGTTGGTTTCTACCATCCTTATTCTTTCTACCAGATCCTGAATCTTGTCATTAGGGCTGAATAGATTACTTCAGTTTAAATAGCCTTTGCAACATTGGACCTGTCTGCTTGATTCAGGGCATAAATGGATTTTAGATCCTAATCAGTGTATTAATCTCTGACCCTCCTTGTGTCTTCCGTAGCTTCGTACCAGGACAGGGCACTGTGTCCAGAGAAGGATCATCTTCTCTAGCACAATAGGGTGGGAGGATGGAGAATACAAGGCTATGACTAAAGATGTCCTTTGGGTATTTTTTGTTCATAACAAGTAGAGTTATGTCTTTCTTTCCCTCTTGGCCTGCCTAAATTAACATTGGATTATTTTGGACTTTACTTTTTACATTAGTTTAATGATCAGTTGATCAGCCCCAAGCATTTTGTTCATCTGGCTGGCAAGTCCACCCTGAAGGACTGGAAGAGAGCTATTCGTCTGGGTGGAATCATGCTCAGGTGAGCTCTGATAGCAAGTTCATACCTTTCAGCTGACTGTGGGGCACTTAATCATGGTGGAATCCAGAGAATCCAGTCTTCTTAATTTGAATTTTTATTCTGTCTGAAGGATTGGCTTAAACAATCCATGTATTATTTGACCTTCATCAACTTGTTCTTAAAATCCCTGTGAGAGAAGAAAAATTGAATTAAATTGACTCTTCCCAGCATCTAGGACAAATTCTTCTGATGTCAGAATGTTGGGCAGGATCTTCTCTGGGCAGAGAAGCTCAGGAGTAGATGACAGTCCAGCTTGAGATCACTCAGCATAGGCAGAGCTAAGCCTGGTGCTAAGAAAGCTTGACAACAACGGAGATGTGGGCTGATGGACAAATCGTGGGATAATCTGGTAGAGTAGAAGGGTGCTGTTCGTAAGTAACAATTATGCACAGCGAATGCAATCCTTGCCGTCATTGTACCATTGAAATAAACTTTATTTGTTTTTTAAAAATATTTATTTATTTATTTAGGCTGCGCCTGGTTGTGGCGTGCGGACTCTTAGTTGCGGCATGCATGTGGGATCTAGTTCCCCAACCAGGGATCGAACCCGGGCCCCCTGCATTAGCAGCGTGGAGTCTTACCCACTGCACCACCAGGAAAGTCCCAGAAATAAACTTTAGAATGTATAGTATCCCCACTCCCATCTCTTTATGCAGCAAGTTTATCATTGTAATCCACCCCACTCCTCGGTGAAATTAACATCAGTTGGTGTTTCTTGAGCACTCAACTATTGATAGAAAATTTTAAAATGTGGTTAAGAATTAAAAGTTCCCCACAGAACATGTATCATGAGCCTTAAAAACCTCTTACCTTTTGTCTTTAATTTTTTTAAGGAATCTGTCTTAAGAGAAATCTATAGTGCTTGTAGAGATTCAAGTATAAAAATGTTCATTGCAACATAATTTATGATGGTGAAAATTACAGTCTGCTTTAATATACAATCAAGGTGTATCTAAAGTAAATTATGGCTCATCTAAATGTATATGAGTTTATACTATGGGGCATTATGAGGTCATTAAAATATTTCTAAAGAGTTTTTACATGGAAAATGCTTATGATGTAATGTAAGGAAGAAAACAAAATGTAATATCAATTGATATAGTTGTTTCAAAAAACACACATATGTAAGTAAATTTAGTAGAAAAAAATATGCTGAAATGTTGATATGATCTCTGTGTTGGATATTTTTTTAAAGAGCAGTTGTTTTCTTTATAGTTTTCTGTATTTTCCACAGAAAATGTTTTTTTCTTTACGTATGATTTTTATAGTCAGAGGCATAATTAAAAAAAATTCATTCCAGATGATTTGTGTCCATTAATCAGTAGTTGAATGAAATTGGGGGTGAATACCTTTAACTTTCTTTTTTTTTTTTTTTGTTCTTGGCTTGTTTTATTTGCCCAGAAAAACAAGTGTATGCCAACTTTCCCCAAATGTAAAAGACTCAGAGTGTCTAAAAAATCTTTAGTGAAAGCCAAGTAACATTATAGCATAGAGTTTACTGTAATTAAAATACCTCATGGCTTTGCTCATGGCCTATAATAACGTCTTGTGAATCTAGTTATAAGGACATTTTATAGTAGGGGTTTAGTATAATCAACTTTTCTCTGTATTTATAGGAGAGTTATCTCTTTTTTTTTTTTTTAAAGGAAAGAAATGTGCTGAAGTTTTATGTCTCCAGAAGTGGCAACAGATCTTGCTGGTCTACAAGTACTAATACATCAGAATCTAATCACAAAATTCTAATCCCCCTGTGGCATTTCTCATTTGTGCTGGGATATGAGTTAGTCTTTTCCCCTTTTGGGCTTTATTTCACTGAGATTCTATGGGGAAATTTAGCTATTGTCAGGAGTATATGTCTAAAACTTAGTGATAACGGGAAATACAAGAGAGTACTCATAATGAGTAGAGGAAGGAGGGAAGAGGAGTACTTGTAAATGTGGGCAGGACCAATGAACATTTTATAGCCCCAATTAGAATTTCTGCAACCTAATGACTTTTAATACTATTAGGTTTCATTAACATATAGAAGGGACTCAGCAACTTTGTCTCTATCTGTCCCTTCAAGATGAAGTGCAGGCTGAATTGGTACTTCTTGTCTCTCTTTGCACAGGAAAATGATGGACTCCGGACAGATTGATTTTTACCAACATGACAAGGTTTGCTCCAATACCTGCAGAAGCACCAAATTTGATCTTCTGATCAGCAGTGCAAGAGCTCCAGTGCCAGGACAGCAGACAAGTGTGGTGCAGACACCCACTTCGGCCGATGGTAGGGGGTAGGAAACCACCTGAAAACCCACTGTGTTTTTCAGTAGCACTTTTCCTCTCATTTCTTCTTTGTGTTTCTTTTTTCAATTCTCGAGAGCGTTAATGTAAGGCATGGTAATCTTGGGTGGGAGTCCATGCTTTAGAAAGAACTCTCTTTGTTTTCTCCCAAATGATTCCTATTGGGCAGACCTCCTTCCTTGTTTCTTTATTACAGTGCATGGTAAACATTAGAAAGGTGATCCAAATAATGCTTATTTAACAGTCTTACTTTGCCACTTGACATATCTTTGAAATCAGATTGTTTTAAAAATCCTTTGCTCTTCTAGTGGCAAGGCAAGCGGGTGGATTAGAACGGAGAACGGGTTTTCAGCTGTTGAACTGAGGTGTATCAAAGACAGTGTGTCATTGGCTGGGCTGGACTCTGGAGACTGCTGTAAGGATCAAAGAGCTCTGTCTGTAAGGAATTCAGATAAGCAAGCTGAGGCTTCTTCACAAATGAGATAGGATGGGCACACACTTAACTTCAGTATTGTTGAGCTTGGGACAAGGGCTCTCTAGGAAAGATATAGCCATATGAGGTTATTATTAAGGATTTAGTTCAGCTGGAGACTTAGCACAGCTAAAATTCTTAGATAGAATATGTCTAAACTACTTCCAGGAGACTTATAAATATGCCTGACAGAGACACAAGAACGCTAAAGGATGTCAGGGAAGTATTGTGCTTTAAAAATGACTTATCAAGGTTTCTTTTGGTCAGTCCTAATGTTCTGTGAGTAACCACTGGGTGAGTAGAAGCCAAATTTCTTGGAACCTAAGTTCCTTTCAGGAAAGTGTACAATATCTAGCAGTTTGAATATTTGGTGGTGTGATACTTTCACTTGAAAAGTGAAAAATGCTGTGAAATTATCTACTTCATTTTGCCAAAACTTCTTTACTTGATCATCCATATTGATATTACTTGTTTGCTTGATTATTGATATCCTTCAATGTGGAGAGTCCACACTTGTCTATATTTCTGTCTGGATCAGTTTGATTTTTCTCAATTCTCTTTGTTTAAAACCTTAATATAAAATTGATAGCAGTAGTTTTTTCCTTTGTGAATCTGCTATTCATGGATCTCTTATCTGATTTATTTTGGTCTCATTTCTCTTGCTTTCTTTTACATAGCCTGATAAATAAGTTACAGCAACTTCATGAATTCTAGATGGTTAGTATCAAACATGCTTGTAGTAGGGCTCTTGACTATAATTTTCTTTTAAATTATTTCAAGTCCTCCTCATCCTCACCAAGTCTGGGGCCTGCAGCCTGGCAATCGTGCCCACCTTCTGTCTCTTTCGAAAACATAACTGCTCAGAAAGCAGATTGCTCTTTTGTGATTTTGTAAGTTATCTTTCACTTTCATTTTTTTCTTTCTTTCTATTTATTTATTTATTTTTGCGGTATGCAGGCCTCTCACTGTTGTGGCCTCTCCCGTTGCGGAGCACAGGCTCCGGACACGCAGGCCCAGCGGCCATGGCTCACGGGCCTAGCCGCTCCGCGGCATGTGGGATCTTCCCGGACTGGGGCACGAACCCGCGTCCCCTGCATCGGCAGGCGGACTCTCAACCACTGCGCCACCAGGGAAGCTCCTAGCTTTCACTTTCTATTCAGAGTAAGAAGAAAGCATTTTCTTTTGCAAGGCAGGTTTTATTTAGGAAATCAAATATTCATCCTGGATTACCTAGGATTCTAGTTTTTAAATATAGGGACACGCAGGCAAAAGGTTAGAAAGTTAAATAACAGGATCTCTTTGGCTGTCTGAGATAGAGGATAGTTGTGACTTTTTCATAAAATTCATGGGCCTTCCCTCTAATGGACTGCTTTTAGGTAGCATCACACAGATTGCCATCTCAGAAGAGAGCATGGAGGAGGCAGGGCTGGAATGGAACTCGGCTCTCACTGCTGCTGTCAGCATGGCCACAGAGGAGGGCATGAAGAAAGACTCAGAGGAAATTTCAGGTACTTTCTATGGGGCTCAGATTTCTTGTAAGGTTTTGTGACTCTTATCACCATTATGATTATGGACACAGAAGGCCTCTTCATTACTTGTGCTGGTTTTTCTTATGCATATTAATACTAATTACAGCTGCAAACACCTTATTTTAATCCAAGCAATAGCCCTGTAAAGTCAGATTTTATGAAGCAATTGATACTCAGAAAGGGTCAGCACCCTGCCTAAGACCAGTCACACAACTAATAATTCAGCTGTTTAACTGAATTCATCTGTTTAACTCTGAAGTCCATGCTTTTTATCCTGTCACACTGACTCCAACTTTGGCCCATTTGTTAGAGAAACCAAGCTGCAAGATGTTAGAAGAAAAAATTAGGTAGCAGGTGGTGTAGAGGATGGTGATTAATGATGATTCACTTAGAGGGGACAGGAGAAGCTTCACATCATCCTTCATTCATTAATTTATTTAACAAATATCTATTGCTGCCTGTTTTTAGCTGGTACTGTTGTTAGATCTAGATAGATGAAAAGACATAGCTTCTGCCCCCAGGGAGCTTATAACCCCACCTATTCAACTGTTTCGTTGTTTTTTGTTTTTTTTTTAAATATTTATTTATTTTGGCTGCGCCGAGTCTTAGTTGCAGCACATGGGATCTTCGTTGCAGCATGTGGACTTCTTAGTTGCAGCATGTGAACTCTTAGTTGCGGCATGCATGCGGTATCTAGTTCCCTGACCAGGATTAAACCCAAGCCCCCCTGCATTGGGAGTGCGAAGTCTTACCCACTGGACCACCAGGGAAGTCCCTTTATTTTGGTTTTTTAAGTATAGGATTAGAGGGAGTATATCTTTAACTTAATTTAATTTCTTTATTACTTAACATTTAAAATATTATGTATTATTTAATTTTAAATTAAATTATTTAAATAAATGCTTTAGTATTTATTAAATATTTAATTTAATATTTTTATTGGAGGAAGATACCTGTTCCCTGTAGCCAGAGGCATGACAAATTGAGGCAATTATCACAAGTCCCTATTTTGCTGCAGAGTTCAAATAATTAGATACCAACTCAGGGAGGCAGCTAGTGTTCCAAAGGCTTCTTTTCTTTTCCCAGAAATAGCCCAATAAGAAATCATTTTGAGGGGGGTTCCCCGGTTGCCTAGTGGTTAGGATTCTGGGCTTTCACTGTTGTGGCCCGGTTTCAATCTCTGGTCAGGGAACTGAGATCCTACAAGCTGCGCAGCACGGAAAAAAAAAATCATTTTGAATCAAAATAATTTTGAATTTAACATTGAAAAGATATGCCTAAGTATATGTAGCATCCCTTGTTTACCCTCTGTCTTATCCCTCTTTTGCCAGAGGACACTTTGATGTTCTGGAAAGGAATAGCTGATGTAGGACTGATGGAAGAGGTTGTCTGCAATATACAGAAGGAAATAGAGGAGCTACTCAGGGGAGTTCAGCAGCGGCTTATCCAGGCTCCCTTCCAGGTCACAGGTAAACACACTAATCCTAACAATAGCGGTCATTGTAGGCAGATCATGTTAGCCTCATGAAACACTGAGGTATAGGTATTATTATCCTCATTTTACAGAATAGGAAACTAAGGCTCATAAAAAGTTACTATCCAAAGTTCGTAAGTAGGGCTTTTTATTTTGAATTGTAAAATTTTTTTTTTTTATTGAGGTATAGTTGATTTACAATATTGTGTTAGTTTCAGGTGTACAGCAAAGTGATTCAGTTATGTGTGTGTGTGTGTGTGTGTGTGTGTGTGTGTTTTTAAATTTATTTTTATTTAATTTATTTTACTTTTGGCTGTGTTGGGTCTTCGTTGCTGCGTGCGGGCATTCTCTAGTTGCGGCGAGTGGGGGCTACTCTTTGTTGTGGTGCTCGGGCTTCTCATTGTGGTGGCTTCTCTTGTTGCGGAGCATGGGCTCTAGGCGTGTGGGCTTCAGTAGTTGTGGCACGTGGGCTTCAGTAGTTGTGGCTCATGGGCTCTAGAGCGCAGGCTCAGTAGTCGTGGCACACGGGCTTAGTTGCTCCACAGCATGTGGGATCTTCCCGGACCAGGGCTTGAACCCGTGTCCCCTGCAATGACAGGCAGATTCTTAACTACTGTGCCACCAGGGAAGCCCCTATGTGTATTTTTTCAAATTATTTTCCATTATAGGTTATTAGAAGATATTGAATATAGTTCCCTGTGCTATACAGTAGATCCTTGTTGCTTATGTATTTTATACATAATAGTGTGTATCTTAATCCCATACTCCTAATTTATCCCTTCCTCACTTCCCCTTTGGTAACCATAAGTTTTTTTTCTATGTCTGTGAGTCTGTTTCTGTTTTGTAAATAAATTCATTTGTATTATTTTTTGCTTCCACATGTAAGTGTAATTTGTCTTTCTCTTACTTAGTATGTTATTCTCTAGGTCCATCCACCTTGCTGCAAATGGCAATATTTCATTCTGTTTTTATAGCTAAGTAATATTCCTTTGGATATGTATACCACATCTTCTCTGTCCATTCATCTGATTGATGGACGCTTAGGTTGCTTCCATGTCTTGGCTACTGTAAATTGTAAATTGCTGCTATGAACACTGGAGTGCGTGTATCTTTTCAAATTAGAGTTTTCATCTTTTCTGGATATATGCCCAGGAGTGGGATTACTGGATCATATATGGTAGCTCTATTTTTAGCATAACTAGGTTTTGAACTCAGGTCTGGCATTGCTTTTTCCACAGGTAATTTTTGCCTTGTAAATGGTGCCAGAAAGCAATCTCTCTCTCTCTCTCTCGATATAGATACAAAGTAGATATATAGAGTCTGAAAATTGGAGAAATCCACCTGGTTTTAGACAGTTCTCATATTCTGTTCGTTTAAAGCCTCCAGAACGATTGTCTGCATTCCAGGCAGAGGGAACAAAGATCTTGAAGTTACAATGAACCTGGTGGGTTCAAAGAATTAGAGAAGCACTGACGTGGCTCCAGTGGACTAATTAATGGAGAGAGTGGTAGGTGATGAGGTTGCACAGGAGCAGAGGGGACAGTTTAGATAAGCTTTGGTCAGAACTTTGGGTTTTATTTTAAGGTGATGGTAAGCCATCGTAGTGATTTTGAGCAGGGGAGTAAAGTGATCAGATATATTTATATATTTTTAATATAGTTTTTTAATTTTTATATCTTTTTTTTTTTTTTTTTTGGTACGTGGGCCTCTCACTGTTGTGGCCTCTCCCGTTGCGGAGCACAGGCTCCGGACGTGCAGGCTCAGCGGCCATGGCTCACGGGCCCAGCTG